TTTCCCTACTAATACAAGGACACGATTATTCTAGCTCCAGATACTTCCAGCCATACACCACTACATGCTTTCTTCTTAAGTTGTCAAACTGTTAGTTTCTTTTTTCAGAACAACCTATCTGTTGTCATTGTATGCGATACCCAAAACAAAAGGGGGAAAAAGAAGTGCCAGAGATCTAAGGTTTGCAGTAGAACTGAAATCCATGCATTTCTTTAAAATCCCCCATTTCATGTTTCTGATTGACCAAAAGCTCTTTTTTGATAGTATACCTTGATTATGGGAGGTAGACAATAATAGGAAAGAAGTAGAAATCTTGTTTTGTTGAACAGTTAGTAAATTCCCAGTATACAAAACAGGCCCTGGCTAATAGCCAGCTAGCTGTTGGGTTTTGCTGCAGTCAGATCAACAGCATTCTTTCCTGGTACTGAAACCCAAGGAAGAGGTAACGCTTGCAGCTGAGACGCTTGTAATCCATTGCTTTCATACCTTACCTCCTCCCAGGCCACCAGGCGAAGCTGACTATCATGCTGGGTCCTCTCAGGCCATGTTTTTTTTTAACAGGAAAGCATATCATAATACATATCCAAGTTAAAAGAGATTGTAGCTCTCACCACCTTTATTGGAAATAACCTTTGCCGCACATAGCTAGTCCAGAGAATCCAAAATGGGCATTATGCTGCAGATCTCATCTGAAGTGGGATATACAGCTTGGAAGGCCAATTAAAGGCAGATTCATTGTTACCTCAGTTCCCCTCGGGCATGGCAGCTTATTTTATAGGACAGCAGAGTGGGTAAAAAAAAGGTTAATTCCCTTAGTGCTACAGATAAAAGTGAGTATTTGCATGGCCTTTCCTGAGAAGCCCAGCTCTGGGAGTTAATTGCACAAAGTACTGATTTGGAGATGAGGTTTATACACACAAACCCCCTTTCCTTTGGGATTCCTTTTTGGCAGTGCTCCTCTTTACTCTGTGCAGTTAAAGATGTGCTTCTTGTGTGGTTATTGATTTGGAGAGCACCAGTTGAGTTGGTGTCACAAACAGAGCAAGTGAGACGTTTGGTCACAGTGGCCTTTCTTTCTGCATCTGTCAATCTAGCACATTCATCTGCCTAGAAGGTAAATCAGAGGGAGCTGGGCATGACAAGTTGTTGTTAGGCACTGGAAGAGCTGGGAGAGGACTGCTAGCTTGTTTTTATTTTTTGCCTCCGGGCTCAGTACCTGGTGGGCCAGCAGAGATGGTTATTAGCCCTCACTGGCAGTTTGTCTCCATCAGTTATGTAAAGGCCTTTCTTTAACAAGATGTGGGATGGCTGGTCCATAGGCTGCTTGTGTTGGCATCTGGCAGGTAGCTCTCGCCTTCTGTAACCTGTAGCTGCTGAACTTGTAGCAGCTTTTGGATCCTTTTGTTCCTCCGCTGTTGTGGTAGGGCAGAGAAACTTCCAGAAGTTTACTCCTGTCCTCAAAGCCGGTGTTGAGCAGAGTCCTTAACACATGTTAAAATGTGCAGGGAATGAGTGAGGGACTCACTGCCTTGCCAGACAGAAGGTGTGCATAGCCACAGTCCCTTACCTCCTGTGTTTTGGTAACTGAGTGTGGGTACTGTGCCTGGAGTGGTGTACTGAACAGCTGCTGTCTCCTTTACCTGGGGATATAATGTTTTGCCTTTGAGTTCTTCCCTTTAACCCTTCCCTTGCATTTGCCTTTGCCTGCCTCTCCTTCACTTGCTAGCAGTGCTTTTCTTGCCTGCTCTTGTCTCCTTCTCCCATCTTACCCATCCTCTAACTGGAAGCCAGGGTACAGCCTTTGAACCAGGTGGAGCACATCTCTGATGCACAGCCACGAACCACAATCCCATGCTGGTTCAGGATGGCTCATGCAGCTGCTCTGGGAGCTTCCCTGAGCCTGCAGCTCAGATCAGGAGACTTGGATTTTCCCAGCAAACTCTTGTAGTCAGCACCACTGAAGCTCAAAAGCACCCTTGGGATCCATAGTGCAGTCATTTCAAAGGTGAACTATATGGAAAGAAATGTCCTAGACTCCATCATGATATGTGCTGTTAAGTGATTTTGATGTATGTATAGCTTCTATTTTTGGCTTTCTTACGCTAAGGCAGAGTTGTCTGTCCCATGCTTTCCCTCTCAGCACATGAGGAAACCTTGGGCACAGTGTGAACATGCAGTCATTTCCATGCAAATAGTTCTTTATGGGTTGAGTTCCGTCTGCACGCGGAGCATTTTCTTCTAGTGTCTGCACTGCTCTTTGTGCTGGGGAGGTGGCAGGACAAGCAAAGCAGTGCGGGGAAGGGATCAAAAGCCCCATCTTATAACTGGAGGTGGTGTGATGTGTTGGTGGGATTGATGTCAGGGAGGGAAAGTCTTCCGCTGCCTCAGTACAATTCTCATTCCCACCCACTCAAGCAGGAATTCCCAAAGCCTTTTACTCAGTATCATAAAAGCTGCAAGGAATTTTTTGCTGCTGCTGCAGTTTCCACCTGTGCAAAACAGTCTTCCACTGGGTGAGCATCCTTGGAGGTTTAACATCAAAAGAGTTCTGGCACCTGAGCTGTGGTATCTGGCAGTCCCGAGCAGTCTCATACCTGTTCTGTAGAAACCCTTTGGGAGAGAAGGATGTCTCTCAGCATGGTGATTTTCATGGGGGTGTCAGTGTTGAGGGAGGTGAGTGTATGGCATGAATTGGCAGCCACTGCCTAGCTGCAGACAGGTTTTCTCAACCAGTGTGAGTTTGATGAAGGCCACCATGAATGCTGAAGTTAGGATTGAGTTGTCGCAACCCAGACTGTAGGCAAAAAATTCAGGAGCACCAAACTGTCTAAAGGCACTATCTGTAAGCAGCTTCTGGGGGATCCTGAGCTCTTTTAAGTCCATTTCTGTTACAGCTCGGGCCAAGTTGTCATTTTTGTGGGGCTTCTCAGCTAGAGTAAATAAAGGGGGCACTTAGCACAGTGTGTGCAACTCTGCATTTCTTTTTTGCACTTAAGATCCTTTAAAGTCCACTGTGAGAGATACAGGCTGATAGGTGCTTGCTTAGTGCTGTCACTGACACTTACACTGCTAGCCTATCCCTCTAAAAGGAGCGGTGCTTATTCAACTCACATCTGTTTGTGAGAGGTTTGTAACTGCAACGGCCTGTCCTTGTGCCCCCCTCTCTGTAGGGGACAGGGAGATAACTGGGGTTTATCCATGTCCCCAAATTAAGATCCACACTCTGCTAGAGTTTACTTTGTCTGAGGGCATCAGATACACTGATGGTTAATTGGACTCTGAGCCTGAACTTAGCTAATCATCGTAAAGCCTTTGCTGCTCACTGATTTTTTTTTTTTTTTTTTTTAATTTCTTGATGCTGACAGGTAAACGTTTGTTCTTTTTTGTTTTCCAGAACATTGTTATATCTAGTGCAGCTGAAAGGGTAAGTCCTAGATTTTTGCTGAAGTCAGAACAATTTGAGGATTTATCTGTGGCTGAAAATACAGCTTTATTTAAAATTACAATTTTTATATGTTTAATGTATATGATTAAAAAACCCACAAGATGGCAATCTGTTTTACCAAAGAATTGTATTGTGGAGCTTGGGGTTTTGTATTTTTGACTAGGTGGGGTGTTTATTTTTTTTGCTGCTGTGGTATTTTCCATGACAGTTTTCTCCCAGATGGGAACTCTGTTTTCCAAAATACTATTATTTACTTGATTTCCTAGTGCATCTTCAGCAGCTTGTAATTATTTAGCATTTAATCTTGCCTTCCTGATAGCCCTGTCCTGCCTGCTCACACTCTGTCAGCCTGCAAGAAAGTGCATGCACATATCCAACCTTCTTTGTTTTGTTTTAGCCTCTGGAACTACGAGGTCCTTACGACGTGGCTAATCTGTATCCTTTTTCTAAGCCAAAGACAGCAGTTAATAGTAACATGTGAAAGTTCAAAGTGGTTTTGAAATATTTCCATCCATTACACTCCTTGAACTTTACACGGTGATGCTTGCTGGTGACCAATTCAATGAATCAGGGCTCTGAGTGGGTGTGGAAGGAGCAACAGCTCTTGGTCATGGGGTGGCATGAGCAGTCACTATAAGTAGTAATGTCTGTGTTCAGCTGCAGGTATGTTTTGTTGTGGTATGTATTGATATTGTGTGGGTGTAAGTGGAGAAATGAATAAAAACCATAAAAATCTATGGACACTGTGAACCAAACCCGAAATGATTACTTATGATCTCCAATGTGCCATATCTTTGGTAGAAGAAGCTATAAAATCATATTTATATTAAAAAAGACAAAGTTCCCCTCTGAGTGCTGGTTACTTCTGTTCTGAATTTTCCAGTCCTTAGTTACATAGGTGCTATTAAATAAGTGGTTGTGTTCTAGAAACCAGAGTGTCGTTCCTCCCCTCCTTTTAGGACTTCAGATGCATTTTTACTCCTCCCCCTCCCTGCCCCACAAGCGCATATCTGCACTGTCCCTTGAAGGGGAGGAGTATGCTCTGAGTCATGAGAACCGTGTGGGAGGGTGCGTGGCCTGGAACGATTTTATGCACAACGTTTCCTTCCCTCTTAAAAAGAGCAGTCAGGCTCAACCCAAATTAACATACCTAATCTGGTGTCATCCCTGCTCAAGGTGGCTGGGAACTTTTCAGTATAATGCTTTTGTATCAGACAGTGCCCTTTCCCCAAAACTGAAATTTTCAATGGGGTCGCTTTTTTACTTGATTATGCATGCAAAAATGTTCCTGTGTTGACAGACTTTTATTTTCAAAAGTACAGCTTCTTGTCTGGAAAAAAGCAATGTTGCCAGGAGCTTTCCAGGAGGGCTGCTGGGGAGCTGCAGCCAGGAGAATCGGGTGCCTCAGTTCCCTGCCTCTGGGTAACCTTATGCAAAATGTCACTTCGAGTTACAGCTTTGCTAATTCCCAGTTATTTGTAGAGTAAGCAAACCTATCATGCAGACAGCCTTCCCTATTCTATTTGTTCCTTTCTGTGCATTTTGATCCTGAACAAAGGTGACAGAGGTTTGCTGTTTGGCCTGTCAGAAAGCGAAGCCAAGGCAGCTGTGTCTACCAACTGCAGAGCCACCATGCTTCATGGAGGTAAGCAAAAAGCATGTGCAAACCCATCTAAGTAACACTTGCATTTGTTAAACTAAGTTCGTGTTAATGCATGTTTTCCAAAATGTCCAAGACCTTAAAGAGCAAGTCAGCTCGGGGTTTTACCTCCCTTGTCCAATCCATGAAGAGGAGTTTGTGTGGCCTGGGTGTTTTATTTTCCCTTGTTGTCATGTTAGCAAATCAGTGGCTGAATTGATGGTGCTGTCTGTACTGAAGTACTCGATTAACCACATTAAAGTCATAAACTGTTTAGCCGAAACACAGATCTGCCTGTTGTGCTGCATGGTGAAACTATCCCTTGATGCAAAATCAAATACCCTGAGTGCTTGCTTCTTAGGAAAAAATGTTTCATATAATATACAATGGCTTGAAGTGTTTTGGTGAAACAAAATTTGCTTCCTTATGCTTTTGGCAGAGAAAGCTCACAGTAGCTCTCTTCTATTTGCCCATTTTTAATATTAAGAAATTGGAAGTTTAGCTTGTGGCCCCCTGCACTGGAAATCAAAAGATTTCTAGTTGTATTTTGTGTCCTGGTATTAGCGCAGCAAAGAGATGCCACAGTTTGTATTCCAGCAATCAGTTTAGACCCTTGCTTTCCACTGTAGCACTGATTTCTCCATCCCTACCCTCCTTTTCACATGCTTATTTATTGGTTCTTAGTGTTCCTTGATTTTCGTTGTTTATTCTGATGGCAGTTTAACTTTGTGACTGAGCATCTAGGCCTTAATTTCTACCTCTGCCAAGGTTTGTTGGGTAGATATGATTTCTAGTCACCTTCCCAATAACTTGAGTCGCTCTAAGTTTCAAATGCACAGTAGGATTTGGTTTGCATCTCTTGTTTCAGTAGAGGTGAGGCTTGAACCTGCTGTAATTCACAGCAGGTAGCTTTGGTCTCTTGGACAGGGCATTTCTGTGAACAGGGTCCTCCTCCAGCCTGCTACTCATCTACACAGAGACGGTGTGTCAGAACAATTTTTTAAAGTGTATGTGGAATTTCTCAAGACCATCACCTGTCTCTTCTGTGAAATTAAATAGCAGGTGTCATTTCCCTGTCCCCCAAAGAATACTAGCCCAGAATAAGGCGATATATTTTGGCAAGGTTCTTGCAGAGCCTCCTTGCTAACAGAGTATTTTGCAGAGAAGCCTCCCACCGGTAGTTCTGAAATTGGGTTGGGCTCACTAGGTTGTTTGGCAAACTTATGAGGAGTTTGATAATGTCACACAGTAGTATTTCTTGGTAATGCTGAGGATTCTGTAAATAAAATATTCTTGAATACCATAAAGCCACTTACTTGGTTTGTATAGGGGAGCCTCTGCCAATGTAGCTGTGCCAGCATAGTCTGTTTAAGAATCCAGGGGTATGAGAATACATTTATTATATTTTTTTTTTTAAGAACAGTATGTTTTGCTCAGAAATGCAGAAATGCTTTTTGACAATGCTTCAAGAATGTGTCCTTCTGTGACTATTGAACTGATTAAGCTTGGTTTCCTATGGTTTTGTGTGTCTGCAGCCCCTCAACCCCTGCAGACCTCAGTTTTCCCTTATGTTTGCTGTAATTCTACACCCACCACTGGATCTCCCCTTTTAGTTTCCCCACTCCATAAGGCAGCGTGTCCCCAGCTCCTGCCCATGCAGACTGCTTACCAGCTGTGTATGCTGGCTGTTAAACACATACTGTGCTTTGGGGGCATGGACACCTGCAATGAATATGCATTAAATGCTTTACTGTCACTTTCTCTGGGGTACTACAGCTTCTGCTTGTATATTCCAGAAACTCGGAAGAGTGCCTGTGGGGTGGTGTACACGGTGAAGAAGCCTCGCAAGGTTGAGGAGGAAGAAGCAACACTGCCAGCCTGCAAAAAAGCTAAGACTCAAGCTTGAGGACTGAACCAATTGTCAACAGGAGCCTCCATCCCATGTTTACCCAGTGTTGAGTCTTCTTCCACCCTCCAGCCAGCCTGGAGAAGAATTATTCTTCTGGTGTTCAAGTGAGGAAGGCTGTGGGAATGAGACTGCTGAGTGGTAGTTCACCACATCTGAAAGGTCATGGCTGGGTTTCTGGCCAAGGTCAGGAGACCATCTCTCCACCCTTTCCTAGGTCTTCTGCAGTTAGTGCAAACTCAACACAACGTTTCTAACAGGGAAATTTTCAGCTGTACATGTGCATGCCTTTTTTATTAAATGTGTTTCTAAGAACGCATGCTTTCAAAGTGTAGTTCTTATGGTTTCTCAAGTTTTAAACACATCTCTGTAGTAAACCTTACAACGGCAAGCCAGTAGATGAAGTTTACCTTCAGTGGCCTGTGAAGAGTAATGGTGCAGTAAAAAAAAAAAAAAAAAACAATCTGCCTCCCATTCTGTTTTGTGATCAATGGCTATAAAGAAGATCCCAGCATCTGTCACTTGCTGGGAGATAATCTTGGATTTGTGTTACAGTAGAACTGACTGACCTCATCTGCTAGACACACATCCCAAAGCCATCCCTGTCCTGCAGCTCTTCAAACCAAACAGTAACATGAGATGGTTACCACAGATGGGAAGGAAGAGCCCAAGGTTACACTGAATGTGTGCTCAGCGTGGCATGTTGCAGTCACAGCATAACAGCTGTCTCACCTTGGCCTGAGCACTCTCCACGTCACATCATTTTTACTGTATCATTTCCTCCTTTATGTCCTCATCTGGCAGTGTTGCCTGTGAGAGTGTTCATTTTGCTGCCTCCTGCCTTTCCGTTTTCCTTCCTGTTAATGCCTCAGTAAACCTAATCTGGCTGCCAAAAGAGCAATCATAACAGATTTATAATCAGAGCATTTTCAGAGCTCTTCCAAATGTTGACTGAAGTTTTTTCTTTTGATTAAACCAATATAAAAATTATGTAAGCTACTGTACTCAAGATACTCTTGAGCCAGCTTTATTGTGAATATTCCAGTTCTCTATTTGCATTTTACAACAAGTTGAAAAGTGGAAGTTAAAGCACCTAAAATATTGCAGAAGTCTTGTGGTGGGTCATCTCTGAGCTCTTAGTAACTGGGCTGAGCAGAATGGATGAAGTTCTCAATAGACTAACAGTTCTATATAATGCTGGTATAAGTCACAACAGCTTTTGCTTTATTCAACAAATAATGAAATATTTTTCTCTTATGTTATTAGTTGTTGACTATTGATTTGAGTCTGTTTTATTATAGATACTGGGATGTTATTTATATATACGCAGTATTTTATCATATATGGACTTACCTCCAAAATTATGCTCTAACCAGAGAAGACACAGAAATGTGTTTGTCTGAATGACACATTATCTTGCCTTGGCCAGAGAACAACCTACCTCAAGCATGAGAGAAGTTGTTTGGTAATTAGCATATGGGAGAAGGCTTTTGAATGCTAGAGATCCTTCTTGCTACTTGTTTAACATGATATAAAAAATTTTTACAGTCTGCATCTTTGTCCTTTAAATAGATAGAGAGCTTCAGAAACGGATTGAAAAGTTTCTTCTCCCCATTTCCTGAAGCATGTTGTTATGGCCACTTTGGTGCCTGAACAATTGAACTGCTTCTCGGTTAGGATGATAAACAGAGTTAGCCAGCACTGATGTCATTTCTGTTTCCTGCAAGGCATGCTCCCGGTGTCCGGGTAATTGTGCAGGAACAAATAGTGAAGTAGTGGCTTGCGGAGAAGGGCAGCGAACGGAGGTGTGCTGTAATTTTTACAGAGAAGAGTGTGTTCACAGATGAAGCCTGCGGCTGGCAAGGTGACACAAGTTATGGTGCTTGTGTGAGAAAAGGCTCATCTGTCTAACGCTGTTGGCCTCGGCCTAGGTTAGCTGGCTGCAGACAGAACAGGCGTTTCTTCTGCTCCCTCCTCTGGGGTTTCTGAAAATTCACTTAGTCTCCAAAATTGGCATTCCAGTAACAACTATTCATTGCTGCCCACTCCTGACCCCACCTCATTGCCCAGGACATGGTTGTGGCCAGACTAAAGCCTGTCGGTTAGAATCCAACTGGCAGGGGTTGATGAAGGTGTGTGGGAGCCCGTGGTGTATTGCTCTGGGAGGCCACGCCGTGGGGCGTTAGGATTTTAACTGAATGCAGCATGTCACGTCCCAGTGCAAGTGGATGTTGATGCTCCTGCTGGTGGTACTGGTAAAGTTTTCCCGCTTCTGCTAAAGCGAAGGGAGAGGTGCCTGCCTTTCCTGGTGGGAATCCTGGCTTCCTTGTCATGGGCAACTGAAGATGTCTTATGTGCTCCACATAGTAAGTACTGACTTGCTGAGAAACAGAGATTTTAAAACAAACTCAGAAATAAAACCGTGACTTTGTTTTACTAGCAAGTACTGGCTGCTTTTGTATCTGTGTTTCCATTTAACAACATAAATAAGAGATGGCATTTCTCTAACAGTGGCAGGGACGTGGCTCAAGGGCTGGCTGCTCTGGGTAGCTGAGACTTTTTTTTTTGACTTTTTAAGTATTTTAGAGGCCAAGGTGTGAGCTTTAAAGAGAGACAGAATTACCCTGTACATGCTCACCACTCCATAACCCACTCCAGCAAATAAAAAGAACCACTCTGTTTATTTAATCTTAAATAGATCAGTACAAAATGTACAGAAAAAGCAGTACAAATTTACAAATATACATAATCTGGTTTTGCATTCTTCAATCATCAGACTTCATAGTAGTCTAGTTTAAAAAAAATTCACATTCCCGATACTGTCTCTCACCTTCACAACGTTGCATCTGAATCCCACGCTCCAAAGGGTTACGTGACGGTCGGAGCTCTGTCCTTGAGCTCTTTATTGACCACAATTGCCAAACCCTGTGTAAACCCTGTTACTCAACTGCTGCTTTAAATCCACTTGGCACCTTAGTACACCTTCTTCCCTTGCTTTTCCACGTATTTCCACTTATTTAACATATTATTTTAATAGAATTTGGCAGAGACAAGGCAACAGTTGTAAGTATTTCACTATTTAGAGCTATTGGAAGGCTTGAGGGAAGTTGCTAATGTAGTTGGAAATACTGCTATCTAAGACAAAAGGATTTATGTTGCTGGCAAAGATTGCATTAGGATCTAAAGTTCTATTAAAAAAGCTACAATAATATTGAGAATTATTAAAAATTAGTTTTTAAATAAATAAATAATAAATA